ATCCCAGTTCCTATTTGATGCCAGTCCCTATGGCCCTGAACACATTCCAAATGTCTGGAATCCCAGCTCCCAGCCAGGAAATGATGTTCCTGCCCTGCAACGCAAAGCTCTTGAGAAGAGGCCAAAAGACAAACGGAGCAAAATCCAGCAGAGGCATTTCACTGCCAGCCTTCAGAACTTCGAATCCTGGACAGGAAATTCAAACAATAAATGGGAAATAAAATAACAAAAATATCAGGTGAGGGTCTTTGGGAAGAGAGGGGGCAATTGAATCAGGGCGGGGGTCAATGAAATCAAGGAAAGGGTCAATTAAATCAGGGGAGGGTCTTCGGTGGTCCCTGGATCAAGGGAGACACTGAGACAGAAAGAGAGCAGGCAACGAGAGGCAGGAGAAAAAGGAGACAAACACAGAGAGGTGAGAACGTGGCACTCTGCAAACAGAACTGCAAGGGACTGACAATGAACGGGAAAGAAAGCAGTAAGTCTGAGAGTTTTATTTGCCATCAAATACATCCCACATACCCAGACCCAAACAATGCCCATCCCAGTGCTCCAAATTGGGATCCCACGACTCTCAATCTCCTCCGAACGCCGTCTCAGCCTGGTCGCTGTGGAATTGAGTGGGTTTGGTGAGAGACTGAGGTTTGCTGATGTGGGAAGAAGCCATTGTGAGGTGGGATTGAGCATTTACGGCACAACGCTCAACGGTTTTCAGTGGCATTTGAGTGGTTTTATAATGACAGATCCATCCCTCTTGCCATTTCTAATGCAAAGTGATGGAGAAGAGAAAAAAATAGAATAGAAAAACATTAAGGCCAAACCAAAAGGAGAAGCAGCCAGGTGTGCTCCCAGCATGGATCACAGGCAATGTGGGTCACCAGGGCTGTGCCCAGCGTGGCTCCTGCAGTGGGGGATGGAGCTGGCGCAGCGCACGAAGCTCTTCCCGCCCTCGGGGCACTCGCAGGGCTTCCCTTAGCGGTGCCTCCGTTGGTGGTGGGTCAAGTTAGAGCTGCAGGTGAAGCTCTTCCCACACTCCCCACACTTGTATGGCCGTTCCCCAGTGTGGGTGCGTTGGTGGATGACAAGGGAGGAGTTGCACCTGAATCCCTTCCCGCAGTCAGGACACTGGAAGGGCTTCTCCTCCGTGTGAATCCGATAGTGCAGGAGGAGACAGGAGCTGCTCTGAAACCTCTTCCTGCATTGATCACACTCGTAGGGCTTCTCCCCAGTGTGCAGGCTCCGGTGCCTGACAAGGTGGCAGTTCCGCCTGAATCCCTTCCCGCAGTCGGGGCAGCGGAAGGGCCTCTCCTCTGTGTGAGTCTGATAGTGCCGGAGGAGAATGGAGTTGCTCTGAAACCTCTTCCCACACTTGGAACACTCGTAGGGCCTCTCCCCAGTGTGGGTCCCCTGGTGCCTGATCAGGTTGGCCCTCCGGCCGAAGCTCATCCCACACACGGAACACTCGAAAGGCCTCTCCCCGGTGTGGGTCCTTTGGTGCAGCAACAGGCTGGAGCTGCTCTGAAACCTCTTCCCACACTCCCCACACTCGTAGGGCCGTTCCCCAGTGTGGGTCCTCTGGTGCACGATCAGACTGGAGCTCTGGCTAAATCTCTTCCCACATTCCCCACACTCATAGGGCTTCTCTCCAGTGTGGCTCCTCTTGTGCAGGATCAGGTGGGAGCTCACACTGAATCTCTTCCCACACTCCCCACACTCGTAGGGCTTCTTCCCGGTGTGGGTCCTCTGGTGGCTGATCAGGCTGGAGCCGTCGGTGAAGCTCTTCCCACACTCCCCACACTGGTAGGGCCTCTCCCCAGTGTGGGTCCTCTGGTGGCTGGTCAAATTGCAGCTAAACCTGAAGCTCTTCCCACACTCCCCACACTCGTAGGGTCGTGCCCCAGTGTGGATCCTCTGGTGCCTGGTCAGGTGGAAGATCTGGATGAAGCTCTTCCCACACTCCCCACACTCGTAGGGTTTCTCCCCTGTATGGATCCTCCGGTGCCTGATCAGTCTGGAGCTGCAGCTGAAGCTCTTCCCACACTCCCCACACTCGTAGGGCCTCTCCCCTGTGTGGGTCCTCATGTGCAGGCTCAGGCTGGAGCTGCAGCTGAAGCTCTTCCCACACTCCTTGCACGTGTGGGGCTTCTCCCCATCATGGAGCTGCTCCTGGAGCCCCAGCTCCGAGCTCTGGCTCCATCTCCGGCCGCCTTCCCGGCCCAGGCTGGCTCTTTCCCCCTCAGATCCCCGCCATCTGCGTTTGCAGCCCCTCCTCGTGCGGCATCTCCGGGGCTTCTCCTCCCCGCTGGGTTCCTGCGCCGTGGAGCCGCTCCAAACGGCCTCTGCCACCAGGTTCTGCCGCGGGGATTTGTCCTCCCTGCTCTCCGTGCTCAGCTCCTGCTCTGGGGGAGGAAGGACAAGGACAGGATGGGATGCACAGGCAGCAGGGCTGTGCTGCAGCCGGGGCCGTGCTGGGCTGGGAGATGGAGCAGCACAGAGGGGAAAGGGGCACTGACTTCCTCCTCACCTGCCTCAGCGTCTCGGGGCATCCTCCTCGTCCTCACAGACTTCCAGGGGTTGGGAATGGGAAATCCTGGTTTGGGGAAAACAAGGGATGAGCACGTTGAGATTGAAGGTCTCTCTGCCTGAGTCTATCTTTACAAGTCACCGGACATCGGGGCTCCAGAAAAACCTCCCAA